GACCCCCGCGCCTCATAAAAGTAGAAACTGTTCTGACCCCCCCCCCCAGTGGGGATTGAAAAATTAACAGCAATGAAACAGGTGTGCGTTGCAGGTAAAGTTAGATAATAGGACAATCTGTTAAATCTAGCTCATAATGTCCTGCAGGTGAATGTGATTCAACCATATATGATTAAAAAATATATATTATGTGTTACTACTTTGCAATGCAGCATTTGTCCTACCATAACCCATTAAGTTCCACCCTGGTTAACATACCTTGTAGTCTTCGTTTGCAATACTCAATAGATTGCAATATTCCCAAATGAGTCCCACTTTGCAGTTTTACTCTGTTTAACTCACGTCTGGCATTTCTGGCATTAGAAAAATTAAAATAATAAAGTTGGGTACATTTGGGTACATTGCCAGGCAATTCTTCTTGTCAAGGGAAAGTGTTGGGAACACACTATATTAATATTGCCATGTTTATTTGTAATTAAATTGCTTATCTGTTTTGTTTTCTTAAATTCTAGAATATTATTCACAGACCAGGACCACCAGTACGTATTACTTAACATGTTTCTTTTTATCTATTCGATCTGTAAAGCAGGGTAAATACTTCGTAAATAGTACACTTGATAAGGCATGCTAGACATGAACTTGCTTTTGCCTTTGTATATTTATACCAAAAAGACATACTGTACAGTATACAATATTACCAAGAAATCCACATATTAATACAGATGTCTGCTAGCAAAGAAAAGGAGGCGAATAAAGATAAAAACTAGAGTGAAAAAGAAACGAAAAAGCAGTCTTTACCAAAATGTTGTTCAAATTTTACTAAATTAAGAAACATTTTACCAAATGTCGGCTTCCCAAATAATTACGTCATAATAATGCCAAAAAACAATAGTTGCGTCATCAAAGTAGAAAAAATATTCACAAAAAGTATCTCGAAATACTTGTTGCTTCCATCGTTATTGCAGTTTTTGCTAATGACAAGGATTTATTTCTTAGGCTTGGCAGTTCTGTTCATCACTTATTACACACGTTATTAAACAAGAAACACACATCTTTACCAAAATGATTATTAATAATTAATACCTTTCAGATTTTACCAAAAAAAAAACTTGATACCAAATTTTCTTGAAAATTCACGAAATTTTACCAAAATTAAAACTTTTTACCAAATCTGGTCACACTGCCAGCATCTGCGAACCATCCGCCTGGCTCTGATGTTATAGGACTACTATAACGGGACTCACGTGACTGGCCAAGATGGCGCGGATGAGTTTATTTGTTGTATTGTACTAAATTTATAAATAAACTGATTTATAATCAGCATATAACAATTAATTTTACCGTTTAGACAGAATTTTCAAAAGAGCAAGTTGCATTTATCTATCCATGAAACGAACAGAAAATTTAATTTATGTTATATCTTACATTTTGGGCCTGTGAATTATTAACCTGATAAAAATGTCTATTAAAGTTGTCTACTGGTTTAGTCCCCAGTTAAAATATGCTCATCCGCTTTATAAATAGTTTTACGGCTTTTTTACCTCGCATTAAATTGTCATGTGCATGCACTATACTCATATCAGCACTAATGCCCATGAGTAACTGTTAAATGTTCTTTACTATTTAAGGGTCCACCTGGAGATGATGGTGCAATTGGTCAAGATGGTCGCAATGTAAGTTTAATGTAATCTTATTTGTAGCATTGTTGTTTTTTTTCAATGTACAGTACAGTATGAGCGCTCACAAGGTTAACTCGCTCATTGCATTCGCTTTGTGAAAACGTGCAAAAATAAGATAGTCAGCACTTCCCATGAAGAAAGCTCTACAGTATTTCCAAGCAATTTCCAATGAGTCGATGAAAGATTTTGCGTTAGGGGCACTATAAGGCCCGTACAAACAGACCCAATAATGTTGGCAAAACTTCATTCCAAAGTTCTTTTTGCACGGTAGTATACAAAACATACTTCTGTGGTTTTGGCAAACAGAAGACTCCCTTGATGTGAGATAAATTCTGTGCACACAAATTCTGTGTATGTTTCTAAAAATCGTGAAAATGAAAATTTTTTTTTGGTGACTCGTGAAATCCAAAAATGATCTTCGTGATTTCGTGAAGAGACCTCCCCTTGCCCCCCCCCCCCTCCACACAATTTTCGCAATGCAAACCTGTTTAAAACTAGTCAACTTATTGGCAAAATTACTTTTATCATATTTCAAATATCCCTGGAAAATGCCTGGAAAACGAGAGGAAAAATTATTGAAAGTTGTGGATTTTTAAAATTATGAAGGTGTAGGAATGCAGAATGATTAACGCTGTTTTTAAACGATCATTATCTCAAAAAACGAAGTTCAAATGCCCTACATTCCGCAACTAAGTGGTGGTCAAATGCCCCATTGTAAATTTAATTTGAAGGTTAAAATTCTTCAACTTTCAACTTCCCCAGTCCATTCTGGTCAAACCAATCTTGAACATAATTCAAATATTGACTTCGAAAATCGTTTAATAAAAATTTCGCCATTTTCTTGAAAACGCAAAAGCAAAAAATGATTGACACGTTAAAGCCCGTAGTTTCTTATGTCAGCGGGAAGCAATTCTATCTATAATAGTCTTCATGTTAGGTACTTAGGTAAACTAGTAGTTTTTTAGTTGTGGTCAAGTTCCTCACCACTTTATGCCCGCCCCTAGGGAAAATCATGAATGGCAAATGCCCCTCTCGTGCCCGGGGGATGTTACACCTTTGTTATACCGTTTTGATCGGCGCATTTTGTCTGATTTGTACATTTAGATTTTCACTTATCTATAACTTATTTTCACTTATCACTTATTTTTTTCTGTAGGGATACAAAGGCGAAGCTGGAGCACAAGGTCATGAAGGTCCTCGAGGTCCACCGGTATGTATAACGCGAAAATAAACTCTATAAACAATTTTTCCACCCTGGCTTAAAAATAGTGTAATGATATTTAAGAACTAAGACTGAGGCATTGATATTTAACATGAAATTATGTATTACGTATTATGTATAATATGTATTTGTCATTTGATTCAGTTGTGAAACTCACATAAAGAAACTGCTATCATATAATTTCGTTGCCATAGAGTATTCTATTAATTAATAACACCAAACAATACATACTCCGTAAATGGTAAACATTTTATTTCTCTATACGTTTTGACTATTATTTGCAGTCGACTTCAGGAGAACGCCACGTTTTCAAAAATGTTGACTAGTTAGTGAATAATTTATAAGCAACTCGCGAGCAGCGAATTATACTGTAAATACTGTAGTTTGTTTTTTTGAAAACGTGGTATTCTCCAGGTAAGATGACAGCAATAGTCGCCGAAACGTAGAGAATAATTAAAATGTCAGAAATTTATCGAATGTCGATTGTTTCGTGTTTAATAAAACTGCTCTACTTCATTCTATTTGGGATATTCTCAACTTCAATGAAATTTTGGTGGTTTTACAAAAAAGTTAATACGAAAACCGACAGTAAAATCCTGATAAAACTAGTTGTTGGCCCCAATCCGGACATTTCAAACCCCGTTTTCCAGTGGGCCAAACCATAAACTAATGTGGAAAAAAACTGATACTTACTGGTTCACTGTTTTACATGTACAAGTATACTATACTATACTCAGGGTTCATAGCGGTCTTTGAAATCCTTGAAAGTCTTTAAATTTGAATGCAGGTCTTTAAGGTCTTTGAAAAGCCTTTGAATTGTGTGAAAACGCGAAGAAATTAGGCAGCAGAAATCAGCATTTTAGGATGTGATTTGACGGGACTAATTACCGGGTAACAATGGCGCTTACACTCGCAATTTTTCGACAGTTGATTGCTCTGAAAGGTCTTTGAAAAGTCTTTGAAAATAGGCAGAAACAATCTTTGAGAGTCTTTGAATTTTGTTGGTCTTGGAGACTACGAACCCTGTATACTGTAATAATATGTACTGTTTATATGCTGTATGTACACAGCATACTGTACACAATACTGTACGTATCACACACATATGTACGCACATATACAGAACTCAAGTATTGGTTAAAAATTACTTCAATGAAGAAATGAACTCAGCCATGCACTGGTTTAAATTGGGATATTTCAGTTCTAATTAGTAGGTTATGTGACAATAGGATAACCGGAAACCCCAATCTTTAAAGATTCAGACAGGTTAATTAAAATGCCACCATTGCCCAAATTACGGTGGTATAAATTTTGGTGGTATAATATTTGGATCAATCTGAAAAGGAAGTTGAGCAACAGTTGCCGGATATGACGTCATTAGATTGCAAATTAGGTTTCTTTTGTTTTTTACTTCAAAAATGTGTCTAATGACATCACATCCAGAAACGTTGAATACGTACAATCCTTCTCAAAATTAAAATTACCCAAATATTGTACATAGCAAAAATCAGTGCTGTGAAAGGTGCATATTTTTTTGAAATAGCAAAAAATGTAACTTTTTATAGACTTGTTACCTTTACAAAGTTACTTTACGATTTTTGTAGCTATGAAAAACAACCTGTCATTAAAAATATTAGCTATATGTTAGTAATGGGCCTTATGCAGGCTTCTGTCCAATTCCCAGGAATTTCAGTTACAATACTGGACGTTTTATATGTTGTTTATATCATAATTACGAGTGTTCACCAAAAATTTTGAATTTTCGAACGCCTTCCGAAACTGTGTTATATACAAAATTTAGTTACAAATTCTTGTTTAAGGTTAAGACCTGATATAAACAAAAATCTAAACATTTTGGCCCTAACTCCAATTTAATTTTCATTTTTAAACTGAACTAGTTAAAAAGGTACCTTCAATTTTTTGTAACTTGCTTAATTAAAAATACTTCTTTAGGTTTTAACAATTTCATTGACATTGAGTTCAATTATTACTGGAACGAATAGGATAACCCAACTGCAAGCAGGGGCGAAACTAGCCCGTTTTAATTAGGGGGGGGGGTCTGGCAGAATTGCCTTGCCAAAACCAATGATTGCCTGCAGCCTGCAGTGCCAGCGCTAATACAATACATCACGAAGTTACGTGCATAATTAAACTGCCGATGCCGATGTGCATGCATACGAACTGCTTAATGTTTGCTAGCTGTAATAAGTTACTTAATAACTCTACATTCTATCATTTAAATTGCCCTGCCAATGGGGATTTTTGGGGGTGCCACACCCTCCCTCGAGTTTCGCCCCTGACTGCAAGCTGGTAAATAGGAGAGGAGTTATTGTACAGTGAATCAGTTGATCAACCACATTAACACAATATAAGTTAACAGCATAAATAGAATGGCAAGTACTATATTTTATCGTAAACATGTAACGATCGTTCCATTTCAAACCAAAATGTAACTAATTACGGTTTCAAATACCTCTTCAAAACGTAAGTACAATCCTGGACAAAAAAAACATCCGGACGCTGCTTACAAACGAATTAATGTTTTTGTCGCGTAAACTGTCGTCCCCCCTTCCCCCCCCCCCTTTACAACGTTGTTACAACAAATATAGCATAAGTGCCACTAATTACAACTGAAGTGTTAATCAACGGCATTGTATGAAGGAAGGGCGGATGGATTTTCTGAGGTATATTTAGGTGTTGTTCCAGGAATGTTATATTTATAATGTTTGTACTAGTAAATTTGTCCGGGATTGTAGTTACCGTTACAGTTACTTAAAAAAACTAACGATTACTTGTAATTTCATTACTTGTATCGAAGTTACATACAGTACTGCCAAAAATCATATCTTGGGTTAGTGACACTTTCAGTGACTAAGCTATTTTAAAACCTGTCCATAATAGAAAAAAGAATAAAGCTCCATAATATCAGTTAATTTAAAGATTTTTGTAATGTTTTAGGGAGATCCTGGAGCGGCAGGCGATATTGGAGAGCCAGGAACTGCTGGAGAACAAGTAAGTTATCTCCTGGATTGGAGAGATGCCTGAATCCTACTACTAGCGAGAACATTTTGAGAATTAGATGTCCCATAGTAATTTTACCTAAAATTGTCAGGTGTATTGCCCGTTAATAAAGGGATATTTTTCTTAAATTACATGCTTTATAATTAACAATAGTGAAGATTCATGTCAATGATTAGAGTATTGATAGAAGTTTAGACTTGACTTCCACTACCACTACCATCAATAGACCATTAACCAATCATAACGCTTAATCTACCCGATTAACCAATCAGATGCACACAGAGCAAGTGAGAGGTAGCGGAGTGGAAGTCAAATCTGAACCTCTCTGTTAATACATGTATGTTATCGATATACGATTGAAAAGAAAGTTTACAGAAAACAACGAAAATGTTCAGTACTATGATTGAAGGGTTATTGTAGGCAATTGTGGCAGATCTGTTACATGCTTGCCTATGAAATTAATTTGTCTTAAAATGCATAAAAATAACTTGTTTTATTTCTCTTTGAATATATTAGGGTACACCTGGTGCCAAAGGTTATCAAGGTCGTCGTGGGGTAATCGGAGATCCGGTAAGTGTGTACTATAATTGAAGAATGATATAAAACTCAATTTTAGCAAAGTCATACATGTGGATAATTGTAAAATTTTTATTGATTTATTTCAATCAAACGGGACGGACTCGAACTCCCATGCATATAAACATAGTGAAATGTATAGTATTATAGTTAAAATATTTACATTAATAATACCTGTGAATTAACATACGCCAATTTCTTAAGCGCCAACTAATTTTCAAACTGTGCAGATGTTCAATACTCGAATAAGAGTTGCTCATATGACGTCACTGTCGTCACATCCGTTAACGGGTTCGTGGCGCCTTATAACCGTTCGTGGCGCCTTGATCGGACCAATAGACCTTCCCCGTTTGAGTGAAATTTTGATCTAGACAAAGTCTTGACCAAAAGTTCATCACAGATTGAAAGAGCATCACAAAATTAGTAATATTCCGAAGTTGCGAAATGTTGTAAAATGCGGATAATATAGCCCTGCGAAGTTTGCCGTTTTTCAGTCATTTTGCATTACAAATGAAAATTGATAATCAGATGATCAAACTGATTATCAATTTCCCATTTGTAATACAAAATGACTGAAAAATGGCAAACTTCGCAGGGCTATATTATCCTCATCAACATTTTGTAACGAAACTTCGCAATATTACTAATTTTGTGATGCTCTTTCAATCTGTGATGAAATTTTTGTCTAGACTTGTCTAGATCAAAATTTCACTCATAAGGGGAAAGGTCTATTCCCTGTTTTTGCCTTGCCTTGTTGCAGCAAGTTACGCTTGTTACTCCTTCGCCCTTTCATTTCGTTAAACTTTGTTAGTTCAACAAGTACAATGTATAGACCACTATAGATTGTATTTTTTCCACTGACTCGTCAGTGTGACAGGTGCCGGAGGGATACCTTGGCAGAATTGTCATGGCGAACTCCTTTGCTACTATTTTACCTGTTGCTGCTCTGCAGGCGAAGCTGTTTTACATACACAGTTCCAGAGAGGGACAATACGGTTGGAGAAAGACGACTGAAAAGTACTTGTTTTACATGACGAAACTTTAAGCACAAGAGAAGGATTTCACAATTACGAGTACGACTATGACTAACAAATGACACATAATTTATCTACCATAGTTACTTAACATGCTCTTGTACCTTTATCTACTAATGTCATCACCCACTATAATTTGTTTCTTTTTTAGGGTGCAAATGGTCCAAAGGGTGAAAAGGGTGTTCGTGGATTCAAAGGAGATCGTGGATGGCGAGGAGATACGGGTCCACAGGGGCCAAAAGGCACAACAGGAGCAGCTGTACGTTTTATGTTTTATAATAATATAATTACAGCAGTATACTTAATTCAGGTGGCAGGTGTATAGTTTTCTGCTGGTCGAAGGAGGAAACAGTGGCTTAACGTCGTATTAGAGGGCCCTCGGCCTAAACTGAAGAGGACTCTTGGTCCTAAACTGATCCGCACACCTAGTCCATTCAACAAGGGCGTCGCGCCTCGGACTGCGCCATGTAAAAATTGCCGAAATACAATTCCCATTAGAGTCAGCGAACTACATGCAAAATCCGACACCAATTTCAAACTTCGAATTTTGCATGTATTACTGAATTTTGCATGTACTGAATTGTTGTAAGGCTGAAATAGGCAACATTTAAAGAATTTACTAAGAATATACTCGAGATTGTTCAAAGAACATCTTTCAAAGGAAAGTATATTTTATGCTGTGATGAATCTATTGCAAACAAATGGTACTGTACTACTCTAAATTTAAGAATGTCGTAAGAATATCCAAAGATTTCCGAAGTGACAACATCAACATGTGACATTTTAATCACATTGCATGAATTCTTTAAAGCGAAATGAAAATGAAACCAAGTCGCACATTTGCTTGCATTATGCGATGACTGCACAGTTACGGTCGACCGTAATTAGAAACATCGATTAGAAACACGTACATTATTCAAGCCATTGAATTTGAACTTTAAAATTCAATTAATACAAATCTAAACATAAATCAACCATCTCTGAATATAACAGAGCTTCTTATGGCAATGCAATAGCTATGAATATTGTAGTTTTTACGCTAAGTGCTTTAAATGAAACCTTGCAAATTGTTTTTGGACAGACAGAAGTCTAAATCTTTTGCATCAATGTAACATTTTCACAAAACTTAGTCCTTGTATAAATAACTAACCGATTCATTCTCGTATATTTAGGGTGCCAAAGGAGCAGCTGGTGGTAATGGGCGAGACGGCAACGCTGTAAGTACATTGTGTATGGTATACCTCATTGTGTATGGTATATGTCAGTTTTGTACACTTTTAGCCTGTGAACAAGAGTGGGAAGCATTAACTCTAGGCTTTACACCAAAGAGCTTGCTCTTAATTAATCAACATGGGCTACGAGAAACAAGGGGAAATGGGAGTTTTTGCAGGAAAGAGCCTGGGAAAGACTACAGAGTACAGAGAAGGCCTGCGAAAGACTACAGAGTACAGAGAAGGTGCAAGTAGTTGTAGATGCACCCCAATCAACAAACATTCAGCAACTTCGTTCCTTCTTAAACCTTGTGAATTACCATCACATGGAGGTTTTTACCAAATTGTGAAGTTCTGAGTTGATGATATCTATTGATATTCTGTAAGGATTGGAAGCATTTTTTCTTAATATTTTGAGAATTTGGATACCAGATTTTCAGTTTGGATACCAGGATAAAAAATCCACAATGGATTCCAGAAAAGAATTTTAATATCTTACTCTGGATCCGATGCATTCTCGAAGGTTAAAGAACTCGTCAGATCGTGTATGGTTCTTACGCATTATAACTCCAAACTTCCTCTGAAACTAGCTTGTGATGCCTCGCCGGATAGAATTGGGGCAGTTTTGTCCCATGTGATGGATTTTCAAGTAGAATCTATTTTTTGCTTGCACTAGTACAGCGCTATTCCTACTCTTTTGTCTCGCAGATAAAAAAATGTATTCATAATTATGGTGAAGTTTATGCGGACTCACCACAAATACAGTAACCTTCACCATTCTGACTACATATATAGAGCCATGCAATTTTGATATGCAGTTTTTGAAAAATTCACTCCATGTGCTATAACAAAACAACTTGTAGTTGGGTGTAGGGTAGGAACTCAATCGCATAAGTAAACTGAAGTAATTGTTCGTCATTTTCTAGGGTCGAGATGGTGAAGTTGGATCGAAAGGCGATCAAGGATCTCCAGGAGATCGGGTTAGTATTTCAATTTACCATTCTCCAACATGCAGTGTATCATATATAAATAGTGACAGGATTTGGAATCGCAGCAAAAGAGAAAGTCAAAGAGATCCGTTACCTTTTTACCAACAATTTTGACATTTTTATCGCTTACAAACGATCAAGTTAACGTATGGCAAGTTTTATTTGCTTATCCACATAGGCAACGTTGCCACGTTTTCCTACTGACAAGTAGTACACTTGTTCAATTTGTACACTTGCTCAACTGGTACACTTGTCCAAGGTGTATACTTGTCATATTAAAAATTGCCAAAGTGCAAATTTTGCTCCTCCGTTTGGGTCAACAGTAACCTTTAGGTCAGCAAAGGAAAATTTGACAATGAAATTTGAACACTCGAATGTGGTTGGTCAGCGATCTATTATTCTAGTATTTATTGTTTTATTATTACAAAATATTATCAGGGTGCGCAGCTTACAGACCGTGATTTTCAGTGTGGGCCCAATAGCTATCCTGGCGGTCAGAAAACAAAAAACTTATCATTGAAAATTTGTTGTACTGTACATACATAAAATGAATGATGCCTTAATGCAATCGTTTCTCTTGCAGGGTGAACCTGGTGAACCTGGACAAAGTGGACCCGCTGGTGTCCCTGTAAGTACAATACAAAATGGATTATAATGCATTCATCATTCAAACTATATTTCCATTCCATATTCTCTGATCCGGAGTTCGCGTTATCTTCATTTTTGGCAGAAATGGACCTCAAATTTAAAAATTTTCAAGCTCAAATTAGTCTATACCAACATGAAGATTTCAATTCCGAGGTCTATTTTTGGCAAGGATCTGTAGGTTATGAGATGAAAAACTCGGATTGGCGAATTGGTCAGTATTTCCTGGCTAGAATCTCGTTAGCCAGAAAGCAACGTAGAAAACAAATAACATTCTGATTGAAGCATTTTGTGAAACTTAATAAACGAGAAAACATAATCCACAAGAAAATAACAGATTCTATTTCAAAGTCACTGTTGATTTTAATATCAATGAGAATGAGTATTTGAAATAAATTCCAACTATTACCTTGTAAAGATATAACAAAAATCACATGGTTATAAAAAATGGTTCAGTAAAGAACTAAAGCTACAACTATTATTGAGAACACGGGACCTTAATCTGTTTAACGTATTTATAACACTGGACAAAGTATACTGTGTGTTGTTCTAGTAAAACCCCGAAAATATTTTTCTTCATAAAATTAGTTTTTGGTTTATTGAGTATGAAATCTCGATTGTTGCTACGGAGATCATACCGCGAGTTACAGTAGCTTTGAGGTCAAACATATTCATTGTACTCGATGGCATTTGCCATTTCTTACTTTATGCATAAAATAGTGCAATGCTTGTTGATATATGTCGATGTCATAGAAATATCATAGGTTGTTAATGGAGTATTGATGGTGCTTACATACTTCCATAGGGTGAGGCAGGTCAGACTGGTCCCTCGGGTCCACCTGGTGTGGCAGGCAATCCTGGTACTCAAGGAGATAGTGGTCCACAAGGTGACGAAGGACCTGAGGTAAGAACATTCTGCTCTCTGTGTCAATATTTTCTTCTACCACTCTCGGAAATTCAATTTAACGTTCTGTCCACTTCGTCGCTTATAATTACCTGTATCTTTTATTTCTTGAAATTTTAACCCAAGTATATCTCGCTCATCACAGGAATGTCCAGGAAGGTTTATTTTATGCAAGCATGAATTGATGGTGAAATCAATTACCTTTTATTCCCTCAGTTGTATATGACTGTCTACTATTCTCCCCAAACCAAACTCCCAAAGTGGCTGGATTCATTCTAGAGGGTACAAGATTCCCCTATTTGGGAATGCCGAGGCACGTTTGAAGCTTATTTTATTCATGCAAACAACCTTCTGGTCAAAACTGTAATGTGAACCCTCGTCAACAAGAATGCAATGGTTCAGAGTTTTTAATTTTTCAGGAGTCGAAGCTTGAAATTTTTCATCTTCAATTTAGGGCGAACGTGGTGAGCCTGGAACCGAAGGCGCTGCTGGAGAGCAAGGAGAGCAAGTTAGTATTAAGATGTGCTGTTCGTAATCTATTGTTTCGTTTCGACTGTACATTGAAAAACATCTCTGTGCCATCGCAGAATGCTTACTTGAGAAATTTGATCGGAAAAGTTGAAAGTGTAATAAAACTCAATGAGATGGAAAGCCCATCTTTAATCCACACACTAACATCAAATTATTGCATTTTTCAGGGTGATAGTGGCCCAGCGGGAGCTGTTGGACCCAAGGGTGCTACCGGTGATGCTGGTGAACAGGGTAACCAGGGATTGACTGGACCCCCTGGTCAACAAGTAAGTCCTATGTTCTTAAGAACAGCATACAACATACAAGTATTAATACCCCAGTTACACGATACTGGATTATTCTCGTATGGATTGTAATCCTATACAAATCCAATCTGTTTCAGTGTTGTCTTCTTCAGTTGTGTCAGATACAGCAATCCAAACAAAAGCGTCTGAATATATATTTACATACGAATATTAATAGAAAATATCTATAAAATCGTTTCTTGAGCAGATGGCTCAGATGTCGGTGGTTCTTATGTAGATAAACTGGAATGAGAGTAAATAACTTCCCATGGACACGACTCCCATATACAGTAGTAGCTCAGTGTCTAGCATAAGCTACCATTTTACATTGTTTGACTCTATTATTTACCACCAGGGGTCTCAAGGCGAAGATGGACAAGCTGGCGAAGATGGTGAAAGGGTATGTTTGAAATGCTCTGTGTTTGATCTCATTTCCGGAACCACGGGTGCAGCGTGTGCAAGTGCACGCCATGCCTTTTGTGTTCATAACTTTTTGGGTGCAGTGCGGGTGCAGACTATGGGTAAATGAACGATTTAGCTTCATAACCTAGTAAACGGCCACATAAATTACTTTCTTCAGTAGAAGAGAAAGCGAAACAGTTTCTGCTAATTCTGTGTGCCTTATTTTAATATTTGAAATTAAAAAAAAGTTGTCTGCGTAACAGTCGCTTATTGAAGGTTTTGAGGCATCTATTCAAAAATCCTCAAAACCTTCAATAAAATAAAGAGACTGCTACGCAGGCTAAATAAAAGGTTGCTTCATTGCTTGTGTTTGCTTTTTAATTAGGTTATAAGTAGGTATACTAAGTGCCCTTTCATTTTTGTTTCTGCCTTTTTTTTAAAAATATACCCTTCTGATAACAAATAACACCCCTTGCCCTCGGCAACTTCCGGCATCCCTGTTTCCGTATTGTATCGCCAAAAAGATTACGTTTTTAGAAACGAAGTTTTCATTTGTCGGGTCACGGAAACCAATGAGCTTTGGCTATTTGTTCGTAAATTGATTTGATTAATTTACATGACCAGTTGTTGTTTCACACAATAAAACCGGAACCGTACTGTGCCCTATAAGGTGCAATTCCTTCAGAGATTCGATCCTCGAGTGCCTTAGCTACTTGGTTGCCGAAGATTTGCTTGGGAATTAGTGAAATTTACACTTGACGTCATTTTTGCATGCTGACAGATCGACGAAAATAGTTGTGTCAGACAAATACCATTGGCATATTAGTATCCGGTCAGGTCAGCACACTAATTTAAATCGAAATGTGATTTTGATTTTGAACTGTATACAACAACATAAACCGTAACCCTAGGGTTAACACAAACTCTAACCCTAAAATTAACACAAACTTTAACCCTAAAATTAACACAAACCCTAATCCTAAGGCTAACATAAACCCTAACCCTATGGTCATCTCACATCATCCCTCGTTTTAATTTTGTGCATAAAATTATGGAGGATAACATATCGTAGAAGCTTGGGATATATTTTCATTGCGAACAATTTAAAAGGGGAATGATGGAGTTTGCAAGCGTCTTTAGCCTGATCGAACTGAGACTGTTTGATAATATTTATATTTTTGTCTGAGAGTTTCTTCTGTGTATTTTGCTGTAGGGTGACGATGGATACCCTGGTCAAGCTGGTAGACCTGGTGATAATGGAGAACCCGTAAGTAAAATTGCTCCTAGATATTGTAACGTTGAAAGTATTTTGACTAAGTCTTCGCCAGCGCCAACCGGTTTTTTTGCGGCCATTGGAAAAGATTGCATTTGGATGGTTGATGATCATATTATTGTTGCTTTGGACGTTTTTGTGAAAATCTGCACAATGCAGTATGCATGTTGTAACATTTACCATTAGTTGCCTTGCCAATACCAAATTTGTCAGAGAGTATTTTTGTGGATGAACATATTTTGCACGTATTGTATTTATAGTAATGCTATCGATCGTTCGCTAGAATGTCACGCGCGTTGCGGCCGAAAGGACTATCAGCTGGCAGATAGTTTAGTGTTTATTTACATTGTTTTTCAGGGTGAACAAGGACCATCCGGTCCAGATGGAAATGATGGCCCACAAGGTGAACGGGTATGTAGCATGCAACTTTACATTACAAGCATGAGGATATTTGGAAACTGTTCAGTTGTTCACATGTGATTTATGTGATTTAAACCAACCTTGACCCAGCCCCCCATGCAGTAATGGGTAGGGAAAAAATTCTTGCCTTCTTTGTTTTTTGTTTCTAATTCGGCAGAAGACAACAATAGAGCGTTTGCACTCATTCCGCAGGGACCCACTCAACAAAAATCATGGCGGCCATGTTGGTGTTCCAGACAAAAGAGTCTAATTAAAATTCTTTTGAATCGGAACACCAACATGGCGGCTGTGACGTCATGTGCAAACGTCCTATACGTTCAACTGAAACAAGGGAGCATGTCAGAAATAACTTCGATTTTTGTTTGATTGCGATAATTTGGTATCGACCAGAGGGTTTTGGGTACACGCAGTGTCTACAGTAATAGGCTTTTATTGTAGATATACGGCATATTTACATTGAAATTATTGGTCATCGGTATATTTAAATTTTGTGATTGATTGATAAATTTTGAATTAAAATTTACCGAAGTAGTTTTGAGCGTCTTTTCAGGTATTTTGGACGATTTTTATGAGATATTTGGTATACCACTACACCCCTGCATGCACACCACAATAATTCACTTTTACGTCGCCATTTTGAATTACGAACACGCGTCGAACAATTTTCGAAATAACACGCTCTATGGCTCGAGCACATGTTACCTGTAGATTCACAAATATACAAGTGTACTGAATATATAGTCAAGTCAACTCAAAATTAGTTTTGCTAATGCAATTGCAAACAAAAATCTTCCATTGTAAGGACCAAAGAGAGATCAAAAGGCTTGTAGATTTTGTGCTCACAATCTTATATTAATACTGTATTAAGTATTGATAAATTGTATGTTCATAATTAAATGTAACTAAGTGAAAAGACCCCCAGAAAAACAAGTAAGCTAAGAGTCTAACAGGTCTTAATTTTTCCGATGAAAATAGTGAAAATGATAAAAAGTATTTGCTCGTAACACATTTGAAGTTAGGTCAAACTAAAGATGTTTTACAGTAAGTTAGGTTAAATTAAGAAATGTTTTGAAGATTGTTTTGAAGTTAGATCATATAAATATTTTGAAGATGTTAGTTGCAGTTGGTGTAAGTGTGCAGTTGGAAAATAAGGTTACAACCACATTTTTTACTACTATTTTGTTCACATTATGAATTTTCGTTATTGTAGGGTCGACAGGGGGCTCCCGGACCTCCCGGAAGAATCGGTGATCCTGGATCCAAGGTGAGGAAGCCGTTAGAATTGTGGATGATTGAATTTAACAGACTTGGAAAATAGTGGGAGTTCGGGATTCTGAGAAAAAAATGCCTTAGCAAGAAATTGAGGAACATTTTAAAGTTATGAAAGGAATTATTGACATTTGAGACATGTAACGTATTGATAGTGCTGCTTGTGATGTTACTCTGAGTGTATATCCCAATATCCACACCGGACAAGCTTGAAAAATATGCCTGGCCACGGTGGGAATCGAACCTACGACCTTTGGAATACCAGCCCAATGCTCTGCCAACTGAGCTACGCGTAACATCACAAGCATCATATTCACCTGCGTTCATTACAACAACACCGAAAAAAAATCATATTAATAGTGTGTTGTTTTAGTCAACTACAACTACAACTAAAATCCTATTTTAGTCATGGCAAAATAATTTAGTCCACTAGTCAAAACTTAGTCTTGACTTAGTCAAACTAAACGAGAACCAAACTAATTTTAGAGATGAATACTAGAACTAACCTCTGAGAACTGAACTAAACAAAAACTAAATAGTTACAATTCGAACAGTGACTGATTACATATTTTAATTAAAAACTCATTAATAATTCATGAAGAAAATTCAGAAGAAATGCAAATGAATGTTTAATTAAGCCATGTTTGTAAATCGGATACAGATTTATCCTGATTAGGACTGTTCGGTATACCGATATACCGAAAATATCGGTGTTAAATCAATATCGGTATATCGATATCGGATATTCAACCATACCGATATACCGAAATTTCCGATATACCGGAATTTTTCGGTATACCGTGTTAAATTTACCAACTATATGGCGAAACCATATATGACCTTTATCTTACTACTGAATGACAATTCGAAGAACTTTCTTCTGCAATGATTTAGAATTTCCACTTCAGTGAGATTTTACACTGAGTACGTGTCGTTCGAAACAGCTTCAAAATTATCGTTTTCCCTTTCAGAATTACTCGAAATTTCCTTCAAATTTCCATTATAGAATTTTCCTTTATAATTATCAAAGAAAAACCGGTATACCGATAATATCGGTATAATTTTTTCGATATACCGATACCGGAAATTTCTCATACCGAACATTCCTAATCCT